CTCCCCACACTGATCACAGGCCTTGTAAAGCCAATATACTTTTTCTTTGTCCCATTTCCCCATTTGTTCCCACCTCCCCCTCCTCCTCTCCTCCCCCAGCAAATAGTCCCCAAGCTGGTCAGATCCAGCCGGTGGGATTATGGGCACCTTTTACTATTCGTCAAATTGAGCGTGTCCCAGGACACCAAAGGGTTTTTCATTCCCTAACAGGTTGTATTGAAAAGATTCTCTCCCCTTTCCATAGTATCTTTGCAGAGAAAGTGCTTGTCTGTAAGATTTCTCTCAGTGGCTTCTTGGGTTGCGAATCAGCCCACAGCTCATACAGTTCCTCTGTAGCTCTCCAGGAGAAACTCCTTCCTTTCCATCACCCCAGCGTCTTCCCCAAAAGTCCACTTTCTGTTCCTCTCAGGAAAACCCTGGTTTCCTTCCCATCCTCTGCACTCCATCATGACCCTCCAAAGCATGTCCCCACTCCCTATGCACAACTACCACTCTTCAAGGAGAGACCATCTCCTCATCTTCCTGGATGCCTCTGCCCTGTGCAAGACCTCAGGAGTCAGAGCAAGGCAGGGAGGCAGCCTGTCTTCTTCCCTGATCCCCAGCTGTGGCCTTTCTAAGGAACACAGAGTACCCAGGCAAAACAGGAACCAACATACAGATCTCCTGCACCCTCTGCCCCCTCCTCGTCTGCTCACGTGCCTTCTCCCCTGCTCTGAACAGTGCAGCTGGGCTCCTGGGGCAACAGTGCCCTTCAGTTGTTTTCTTCTCTTGGCTCTCTCCTAAGCAAAGCATCCTCACTCCCCCACTGCTCTCCCATAGCCAGGTAGTCCTGTCATCCCTCAGGAACAGTGAACTCCCTGCACTTCTCCCAGCAGTGTCTGCAATTCCCAACCCTTTGCTTTGCTGAGCCACTGCTGACTGGCCCAGCCTTGCCTGCCTCCCCTGGGGACAGGCAGCACTTCTGGTCCAGTTCAAACTCCTTCATTTCTACTTTTGCCTTTCCCTTCCATCTGCTTTTGTTTGGATACCTCACACCCTTGCTGTTATTTTGCATTTTTTGTACCATCCTCTTGCCAGCCCCAGTCTATGTTTCTCACTGCATGAGCCCCTCTTCCTCCCATTACTGAATATTACTTTCTTCCATCTGTGGAACTTCTGTTCCATCATTAGCCTCTTCTGGAGGACCACAGAGCACCTGAAAGTCCTACAAGTATATTCCTGACTGTTGACTGCAAAGGAGAATTACGCCAACTAGTTCTAAAAGTAGGTGAGATGAATTTCATCTAGCTGTCTGAATCAAGATTCTAGATAAAAAGGCAGTGTAATGGTTGCACGGTGTGCGTTCTCCTGAAATGAGAGCAAATATTTCCTCAGAGGAACCAGAACCACTAACCATACCCTAAAAATGCTTTACATATCATTATTTAACAGATAGTGAATTAAAAGTTGTGCCCTGTGGAATGTCGTAGAAGAGAGAAAGCTGGATAGGTCAGATAAGGGCACAGCTGTGAAGAGACAAAATGAACTGTTCCTGTGTCCGGATATGGTGACATCAACTTTATGCTTATGGAGCAGTTCAAACCTTTCCTATTGACACCGGAAAATCTGGCTCTTGCCCATTGAAATCTGACCTGAAGGCACTAGTTCATTTCACAACTACCTTTCTATTCTGTTTGTATTTATAGATCTTTCTTACGTTTTGTTCCAAATTACTTTTCACTTCCTTTTTCAGTCTCTTCATTTCAGAAACACAAATGACAAAATTAAATGCTTCCAGTTCATAAACTTCTTTTTAGATTCCTGCTGTAGCCAAGGAACTGCAGCTGATATCTTGTTTTCCTTTTCCAAGTCACTAGTACTAATATTGCCAAAGAATTTCTCTGTGAATCAGTGTTGTTTCATAGGAGTATGTTCCATTCCTTGTACATCTATCTGCCATGGCTGTGTCACCACCTGACATGAAGAAAGTTACAACGGTGAATTCTTCCATGGCTTTTCCTTCCCTAAAGACAGTTACTACTTCTTACATTGGAATAAGTTCAAGTTGAGAATCTGTCACTTTTTCAGCCATGCTATAGCTGCAATTTAGGGATATAATGGAGTGAAATAGTGAGAAAAGACAGGACATTATCTCTAAAAGACTACCCTCATATAGAGAATGAAAGGGCAAGCAACTGAAAAAGTAGGTCTCCACATCAAGTCTACATGTGAAGGCATTTTATAAATGCTGTTATGTTGCGGCTAAGCCCAATTACAGAATCTATGTGGAAGCTGGACAAATTGACAAAATGTGATTCCCCAGACCTCTGTGTACAGCAGCTTAACCCTGAAGGTTCCTAGGCCCAGTAAGAAGCTTGCTTTTAGCCCTAATTTTCCCCTAATCTGTTTCTGAATAGGTGTCCACCACCTCGACATGGCAAATATGGGCAGCCCAGCACCTATTTCATACCTCCGTATAAACAGTGTCTTTAAACTCGGTACTAGATCTGTTTTATCTGAGGCATGTTCTTGGATCAGGCCTATTAGCTGGGATTTGGTATAAAATACAGCAGCAGCCACAGCTTTCCCTCAGAAATCTAGCTGCAGGAGAAGAATTTGGAATCGAAAACCTGAGAGGAAACAAAAGCTTTGAGAAGAAAAATTGGTACAAACCATTTGGTTTCTTGGAAATTCCCTTTACACTGATAGGGCATCAAGATAGGGGGAAATGCAGACCATAACCTGTACTTCTTAGAAATCTTTTTTTTTTTTTTTCCCTGAATTTCACTGAATTTTAGAGTTGGAAGGGACCATAGAGATCATCTAGTCCAACTTCCCTGCTGAAGCAGGATTGCCTAGAGCTAGAGCATGTTACTCAGGACCATCGAGGCGGGCCTTGAAACTCTCCAAGGAAGGGGACTCCACACCCTCCCTGGGCAGCCTGTCCCAGGGCTCTGTCACCCTCACCGTGAAGAAGTTTCTCCTCATATTTGAGTGGAACCTCTTATGTTCCAACTTGTGCCCGTTGCCCCTCGTCCTGTCACTGGGAACCACTGAAAAGAGTCTGGCTCCCTCCTCCTTCAACCCTCCCTTGAGATACTTGTAGGCATTGACAAGGTCTCCCCTCAGCCTTCTCTTCTCCAGAAGAGAACTAAACTTTTATTAGTAATAGAATCAAGCTATTATAATAAATAGCAAATAGCTATTCACACAACACAGTCACTTCTTCATTTGCTGAGTTCACTCACAATCACTCACAGCCACCTGGTTGGAGTAACATTTGGAAACCAATTCCAGCTGCGTACCCAGCTGCATACCCAGCTGCAGGGAGCCATACTGGCACTCCAGGGGCTTCTCAGATGTCTGGAAAGTCCTCCAGAAGGTCAGCTCTTCATTACCACTCCTGTCTTGGATGTGGTCCAAGTTGTACCATCCTCTGCTGAGGCTTGTGTGTGCTGGTGGCCTTGTCCAGTCCCACCACACTCTTGGTTTGCTTCTCATAGATGTGACAGGACAACCAGTCTGTAAAGCTCATCATTCCTTGGAAACTTTCACAAACTAGCTTCTCATCAGCCACCTTTTCTGTCTTTGGCCTATTGTTTTCTATCCAAACCTATATATCCAGCGCAGACAGTAGGGTTCTTTCTAGCAAGTGTTACAATGCTGGATTAATCTTCTTGATCTTTTCAGCATTGTTAGGATCTCACCTGAAATACTTTATCCACTAATGCATCATAGAAAGGACATGTTGGAACGAGTCCAGCAGAGGGGCATGAAGATGTTCAGAAGCTAGAGCACCTCTGCTGTGAAGACAGACTGAGAGAGCTGGGGTTGTTCAGCCTGGAGAAGAGAAGGCTCCAGGGAGACCTTAGAGCAGCCTTCCAATATCTGAAGGGGCTACAGGAGAGATGGGGAGGGACTCTTTGTCAGGGAGTGCAGTGACAGGACAAGGGGTAATGGTTTTAAACTGGAAGAGGGGATATTTAGATTAGATACCAGGAAGAGACACTGGAAGAGGTTGCCCAGAGAAGCTGTGGCTGCCCCATCCCTGGAGGGGTTCAAGGCCAGGCTGGATGGGGCTTGGAGCAACCTGGTCTGGTGGGAGGTGTCCCTGCCCAGGGCAGGGGGGGTGGAACTCCATGATCTTTAAGGTCCCTTCCAACTCTGACCATTCTGTGATTCTATGATTCTGTCAGAAGGACCTACATACCATAGAGCAAGGTCTAGAGGGGAACAGCAAAAGGCTTAAATATCTTTAAGATGTAGACAGTGAGGTAAAAAGGGAAGAACTAGCGTTACTATCAGAAAAATACAGAGAGACGATGTGACAACAGCTATCAAAGATAAAAGAATCTTTCTCAGAGATTGCTAGAACAGTACAGCACATAAGTAGCCTTAAATGACAACACTTTCATTAGACATTTATTAGGGTAAACTTTGAAATATCAGGCATAAAGAAGCAATGAGATACACTCTTTCACGGGATGGCAAAGACAAATTGCTACCGGTGTTTAAGAACATGCTAGATTAGGAAAAATGGATGCTTATTTGTGTATGGAAATTTAAGCATCCCATCCCTCCTTCCTATTGTTTTTACTTTTATCATAAATTGTTCTGTTTAAGAAGACAAACTTCTACTTAGAACCAGTCCTTTAATGAAATGTAATGAAAAAACAGTCCTATTTAATGAAACAAAGTAGAATAAAAACTTATTTACACATATTTCATACACATGTAGAATATTTTAATTTAAACACAATTAAAATCTGTCAAAAGATTATAATATCAAAAAAATATCAAATTAAATAAGTACTTTCTCTAGACTGGAACTTTGAATCATTTGATTGTTTACATTTGGCATAAAACACACTGGGAAAGTAAAAAACCAAAACAAGTATATGTGAACCTACTGTGTATTTTTAGGGTTTCTGAACCCAGAGAATATTCCAGTGGTCCAATATGACATGCAATGCTGTCACCTCAGTCATGATGCAAGTCTGGAATGATACTCTAAGGATTAAAACAGTGGGTGGGGGGAATTTGGCTAGCAAGTAGAGAAGACTTTCTAATAGTAAGTTTCATTAGGCTTCGAAAAAATGGGCTAAAAAAGTATGTAATCTTCACTGATACTGGCCATTTCAAGAATAAATTTTATGTAAATTTTTCAGATATGAATTAAGTATAATTCATCCTGCCTATTCCCTCCCTTTTGCAGAACCTTTTGGGACCCCTTCTCTATTATTTAAATGATAAAATATTTCTATTCACAATACATTCAAACCTCATTGCTGATGTTACAGAATTATAGCAGAAGTAAAAAAAAAAAATTACACTTTCCTTTCTATCAGCCATATACGGAGGAGGAAAATGTGTTAATTCTGGTATTACAGGCAGCATGAGGGTTTCTGCGAGTACCTCAGTAGCAAAAGGAAGAAGTGGACTCACACCAGCTGGGGCAGGGAGCTGGTCTTCTTTGAGCAGGAACCTGCACTGGTTGAGTTGGAGGTCCTGTCCAACCTGTGCAATTCTGCCAGCCTGCTCTGGAGTTCAGGGGTGGCGTTTTCAGGATGCCTACAGATCTGCTTGCACTTTTTGGAGCATGCTAAGGAGCTTATTCTCACAGTTGACTGTGGTCAACATGGTTCTCCTTATACCTAAAGGTGATGCTGGACCCATGCAGTGACTGGAACTGCCTGAGTGTTCACTTAGACAGCGTAGCTCCAGCTCTATGTCAATGCTCAGCAGTCCTCCCAGGTACTACTTTTGTGAGCAAATCTCTAGATCTGCCTTGCAAGATTGCTTGTTCCTGCTAGTACAGAGAGGAAGAAGCGTCCTGTGCAAAATGAACTAGAATTTCCGTAGGGAAAACCATTTTGCCTTAAGAATTCTTATATTCCAGAGTTTTAATTACTTTCAAAATCAGGCCCAAGGCTACCATGTTTACTAAACTGTTGCCTGCTCATTTTCTTCAATATTGGTCACAAGACAATTTGATTCATGAGTTCCAGGGTCACCATCACCACGGTATATGGCATTGCCAAAACTGGCTGTAAACGTTTGCCGATCACGTCTCTTTTTATACAAGAAATAGAACGCAAGGCCAGTTCCTGTTAGAAGAAGGAGGACCAGTATAACAATCATCCCGCCTAAGCTGTTTGAGGATGTAGCAGTGACTTCATTTTTTGATGCTGTGAAAGACAAAACAGAACAATTATTACAAATGTCCGGAGACTGCTACTGCATACAACAAACGTAAGTAAACCAACTGGGTGAACTTTAAAACTACTGAACAACCACAACAGCATTTAAAATTGAAGCATGTTCCAGATGGACAAAGCAAAATTGGGCTCAATCTCTTCTACATTCCTTTCAAAAGGAACACTATGTTGTACCCCAGTATACCGTTGCTTAAACCAAAGAAAAAAAAAAATCAATAAGACATCCAATTTGAGAAAAAACCTCTCCTTTTAAACAGATTTAAAGTAAAATCATCTGTGACAGTTAAATGAGTATTTAAATTAAACTTTTCTGAAGGTGATTTTATTTGTGATTAATAAATGCCTATAAACTTATTGAAATTTCTCTTTAATGTGCTTATAATAAACCAATTTACCTTTATTGACAGGTGAATCATGGGTCGGTTCAACTTCAGTAACTTTAAAATTAAAAAAAATATATATTACACACAGTTTGCAAGCAACTATTCAAAGATTAATTAAATCCTGCATACATAATTTTTACTTTCCATTCCTATCAAATTTTAAATAATCATAGAATGGTTAGAGTTGGAAGGGACCTTAAAGATCATGGAGTTCCAACCCCCCTCCCTGGGCAGGGACACCTCCCACCAGACCAGGTTGCACAAAGCCCCATCCAGCCTGGCCTTGAACCCCTCCAGGGATGGGGCAGCCACAGCTTCTCTGGGCAACCTGTTCCAGTGTCTCACCACCCTCACAGCAAAGAATTTCTTCCTAATATGTAATCTAAATCTCCCCTCTTTCAGTTTAAAACCGTTACTCCTTGTCCTGTCACTGCACTCTTTAGGTACTGGAAGGCTGCTCTAAGGTCTCCCCGGAGCCTTCTCTTCTCCAGGGTGAACAACCCCAGCTCCCTCAGCCTGTCCTCACAGCAGAGGTGCTCCAGCCTCTGATCATCTCTGTAGCCTTCCTCTGGACCCTCTTGAACAAGTCCACATCTTTCTTATACTGGGGGCCCCAGAGCTGAACAAGGTACATGGAGATGAAAAATATATGAAACCATTTTCCCTGACAATTCTGGCTGGATCTATGAAATATTCTTATTAAAAATACATTTGGAAAGAAAATAAACAAGCAAAGTGTTGCCTCACTATTAATTGCTCTGAACACTTTTTTTTCATAGGAGGAGACAGATGTTCAAAGTTTTCACACTTCCACAGTGTAAAGCTTCACGTTTCACACTGAAGAACTCAATTTTTTACACTTGCAAAAATAAAAAGCACATTTGTACTTAAAAGCATTTAAGCTGTATTTTTAGGCAACTTCCTCTTCCTCCCTTGATTGCTTGGGGAGTATGATTCAGATAATTGCCTGCAGGACTACTGGCTGGCTAGGCCTTGCAAAGCTCATGGATGACTGCATTGCCAACCTGCCAACGTGTGGAGATCCACAAGCAGGAGACTCAATGGGTTCCACGCTGCATCTGTTACATTTGTGTGGTGGATCTGTTTGCCCACGGCAAATCTGGCCTATTTCAAACTCTTTCCTGGTTGCTGTGTGCAACCACAGCTGAATCCATGTGTATGTGGTGACTCATGCTCGCTGCCAAAAAAACCACGGACCAAAAGTAACCATTAAAAATGAAAAGTCCTATGCTGTTTGGTTGCCTTGGCATGTCTCCCCATGCTCGTGGCAGCAGAGAAATTAACTGGGCTCCGCTGCCCACCCTCACTTGATGCTTTCTGCTTGGCCATCCAGCAGATCCCAGCACACTTCAGTGGTACCGACCCCACCAGCAGCACAGCAAATGCCAAGAAATCAATGCTTTTAAACTGAGAAGAGGAAACAGTGATAGTTTTTTCTCCAACGTTGCTTCTCGCTGTACTTAACAGCAGTTACTCTTAGCTTTGATGCAGATGCACATGCAGGAATATCAATAATCAAAGCACACCCAGTGCATAAGCAGCTTGGCTTGATGTATATTAACTATTACTTCTAAAATAACTCGGTGCACAGAAATTCAGAACTTACTTTTGGGAATTTTGCAAATGAAGTTCTGGTCAATAGAGCAGTAATAGTTCCTCCAGGTTCCACTTGAGACATCCATATCAACACAGTGTTCATCAAAAATTACTCTAGGCTCTCCTTTCTCCCAGTTGACAAATTCTACTGCACTCCTGTCTATCCATATCCATTCTCCTGAAATTAAAAATATTAACTAATGAGTGAATGAAGTGGGGAATTACTTCTAGTCTACCAGACACCACACTGGTTACGGAATTTACTAGTTGATTAAATTAGCATCACATTGGGCTCATTTCTCACTCCATTAACCGTCAGAGGCATTCAGATGGGAGTGTACCAAATGTAAATGCTCACAGATAAAGTTAACAGCATCAGCCTTCAGGGCCATGGGCGTCAGTGATGTAAGGAGGACATGCCCAGGCTGCCCAAGGACTTTTAGCTGAAGGCTGTTCCCAGAATTCGTCCGTTCTAGCTGAAAACTAACAGATGAACCTGGCCCACCCACCATGCAACAAAGTGCCTGCCATTGCTGGTGGTGAGAGACAGGGACTTGGGCAGCCATGGCCAAGGCTACTTGCTGCAGCCCAGTCAAGACTCACTCTGGAGATGTATTTTCAAAGTCTGCCATGAAAAACAGGCTTCAGAATTACAATGATCCAGCAAACAGGATCAAATTTGCAGTTTAAAAAGAAAAAAAAAAAAGCTAGGTGAAAATAAAAACATTCCACCAAAAATTTATGAAAAAACCCTGAAATTTAGATTAAGAAATGTTGCTAGGCACCTTATATGAGCTGCTTTCCCCTGTGCTGTTTAGAAATAACTTTCAATATAAGGCTGCCTCAGCTTTTAATTACAAGACAGTATTTTTCTTCAAAGATTAACACTGGTGAAATGCCAAGGGTTTTGAGTAAAGCGAAGTGACAGGAAACATTTTAATCAACTACTGCAGTGTTAAGTTATAACCTTTTACAGGCTGAAATATATTCTAACTATAGTAAAGATACAAAAAGCATAGCATTCTTGGTGGTTGATGTTTTAAGTTTTTTTATCAGAAAAGCTATTAAAAATTTAACGGTTGATTTCTCTTTGATTATTTTTTTAGTATTTACTATATTAGTATTTAATATGTTATTTATTTTCATCTCAGCACGCATTGTGAAATAATTACCATCAATATTTTTGAACAATCCTATCCAAAACTTTCTGAATTCATTTGCCACTGGAGACAAATGAAGCAAGAGAAAGTTCAGTTCATCTGAATCTTCTATGGAAACCAGAGAAGAACCTAAAAACAGAAATTAAACATTACATATAACTTCAGCAAGATTTTCCATTAGAAATTAATTATATCAGTAAAGGATTATGATGTTTTTGTGATCAACTTTTTCTTAGAGTAGGAAATCTTAATAAAAAATTATTTTAGCTGTAGCTTATATTTGATAGACATACACACACATCTGTGTATAATCTCTTGGTTCTGGATTAAAGAAACAAGTACACAAACAGCCTATAAAATATCCTAATTAAAAAAAGAAGTTACTTACCCATTTGAATACATGTCATGGAAGCATCAGGCCAGCTTTTCTCAGAAATGGTGTGAAGATAGTAGCAATGACCACGGAAGGGAATCCAAAATCTACCATACTTCGGTTCAGGACACCTTCCAGGAAGCTGTGGTGGTTCAGTAGGGATTAACTCTAGTAGGGAGACACATAGGTTTCAGTGGGGTCTTAAAAACCAAGGGAAACTTGTACTTCTGCACCACACATCAGCCCTACCAATTTGACAGTGATTCCAGTAAAAGAAATATTGCAGAGACATCACAGTTGAACTCATCTTGGTAAACTAGTAATAAATGATACTGGTTGGAATTGATTCTCCAATCTGCTAAAGGAGGCTTACACCAGTCTTACTGCAATTGTCTTCAGCAAGGCAATTTTTTTCTTAAAACTTGTGAAACAGAATGAGGAATGAGTCAGTATGCATAAAGGATTTTGACACCACCACCACAAGACAGTGGCATGGGTCCAGCCAATTCATAGCAAGGTCAGCCAGAGAAGGTGTCTATACCTGCCCTTGTATGTACTTCCTAGGCCACGTAAAATTAGAATTAGTAACCTATTGCATCATTGGATTGAAGCCAAAACAGAGCTTAAGTTAACACAAAATTTGCTGTGAAGTACGGTGCAGAGATCATGAATTTCATATATAATATAAAATATGTTTGAAAATCAGGTGCAATATTTGAGCTCTAAAGTATCTCAGTAGAAGTTTCCCAGGATCTTTAACTTTCAGATTAATTGATTTGGCTGCTACACTGACAGAAGTTTCTTACCTTCCAATTTTACAAAAGATACTTTAAAATGTAAAAATATATCATTGATGTATTTATAGTTAGGGTAAAATTGATCAGTTCTGCAGTTCCTGAGAAATAAGGAATCAGAAAAGATCTATTGCTTGTGGCATGAAACGTTGTGGTTGTCTTCATGATGCGCATGTGTTGAATGGCCTGTGAAATGAAATGTCTGGAGATCATTCAAGACAGACTGGATCTGGGAGTTCTTCCTTAACAAAAGCAATATTTTATCACAAGGCATACAATGTTTACCACAATGTGGGCATATGGGGAAAAGTTAAATTCAAATAATTGCATTGAATTTAAATTCCAGCCTCCCAAATCACGTTTCTCCCATTCACAACTTACCATCAGATTGTTTACAGAGAGATAAAAATGTTTCATTGCAAGACGCTGTCTTCCAAAAACCATCCAAATCTAGGTAGACACAGGCTGCATTCTTATTTGGCTCTCCACTGTCCCAATTATGATACCGGCTCCTTCTTCTATCTGACCATACGTAATGGCCATGAGTCTAAAAGGAAATGACAATAAAGATTGTCAATGATCAGATTGAAAAAAGATTGATTGCACTTGGAGGTGTGTAAAAGTTTGGAAATACCAGAATCATGGTTTCTCACTCAAAATTAATTTATCCCCTCTGTCATCAATATGCAACAGTCGTCACATACAATGATCAGATTGAAAAAAGATTGATTGCACTTGGAGGTGTGTAAAAGTTTGGAAATACCAGAATCATGGTTTCTCACTCAAAATTAATTTATCCCCTCTGTCATCAATATGCAACAGTCTGTCCCAGACTTCCACTCTCCACAGCAGTTAGGGCAGTGGTTCTACAGATGTTCATTTAGAACACAACTTACATTATTCAATTCACACCATCCCTCCTCTGCAGTAGATGGGCAAAGGGCCTTGCAGTAACAAATGTGAATACACAATTAATTTTATCAAAGGGGTCCACAAATACACACAGATCAAACAAAGATTGCAGAGAAACTATTGTTAGCATCCCTTTAACACAGGCTTCTCTATATATTTAGAAAGCAAATAGAAAAAGCTGGAGCTCCACTGGAGAAAGGAATACAAGGATGTTTTTCATGGGGCACACACCACAGAGCTCTGCTGCCCATGCTCACGGGGATTATGGCAGGTTTCTAGCCCTTGCAAGGACTGGCTATTAGAGACAAGCTGAGCATGTATCTTTTCAGTGGATTTCACTACTATTTGCAGAAGACAGGCCAACATAAGTCACGGCCATGGCTCCTGTCACGCCATCCTGCACAGCCTAGCCCCTTCTTCCTGTCGTCTTTGCAGGCAGGCTCCCATCCAGCTCTTTGTGCCAGTTCCTTTCCTGACTTGTTTCATCACAGATTCCTGTCTAATCCAGGTTTCCCAGTGCCTGCCCTCACTGAAGTTCAGCTCTAGTTCCTCTCACCCCAGCACCTTTGCCCTCTCTGAGTCCTGTGTCCCACCAAGCTCCAGCTCTACCTCTCTTCTTTTAATCTCCTCACAACTCTGATTCCACAAGTATCCTGCTGTGTCATTTTTTTTTTTTAATGTTCTTTTTGCATGCCTCTAATAGATGCTTCCTCTTCCCCTTTTCCACTCTTTGCTGATAGAGCCTGTTGACAGTTTTTCACAAGGCACTGGCTTCTGGGCATGTTTAGTTGGAGGACGCTGAGAGGAGACCCCATTGCCCTCTCCAACTCCCTGAAAGGAGGGTGTAGAAAGGTGGGGGTTGGCCTCTTCTCCCAAGGGAATCATGACAGGAGCAGAGGAAATGGTCTGAAGTTGGGGCAGGGGAGGTTTAGATGAGATCTGAGGAAGAATGACTTTCCTGAGAGGGTGGTCAGGCCCTGGAAGGGCCTGCCCAGGGAGGTGGTGGAGTCACCATCCCTGGAGGGATTTCAGAAAGGTGTAGACGTGGCACTTCAGGGCATGCTCTAGTGCCCGAGATGGTGGGGTTGTGTCTGTTTGTGGGGTTTTTTTGTGTAGGTTTCTGGTTTGGTTTGGTTTTTTTGTGGTTGGACTCGATGATCTCTAAGGTCCCTTCCAACCACGAGGATTCTGTGACTCTGTGATTCAGCTCCAAAAACCAGCCTAAGCTGTCCCCACTGCCAGAGGTGTGCTCTGGTCTCTATGTTGCACTTTGCCATTTCCCCTGTTGCTCAGCACAAGCTCTTGTAATGCTAGGCTGTAAGTTAAAACAAGGCTTAAAATAACCTCATAAGGAAAGCACTATTTTAAATGCAAATTGTTTCTGTGGTGCGCTCCACAACGTGTCTTCAGAAACATCAGCATGTGGTAGACTGTGGTGTAGGAAGCGGGAACTTCACAGCCACTTTCACTGCTGCAGCTACTATCTACTGTAGCTACATCCTCGGTGGCATTTGAAATGCAGGCTGTGGCAGTCCTCACTTCCACTACAGCCAAATGTTTGGGTTTGTGTAAAACCCCTGAGGTGCAGAGCATCAGGCTCCCATCCAGCTCTTTGTGCCAGTTCCTTTCCTGACTTTTTCCTTTGAAGTCCTTGGCCATGTTTCATCACAGATTCCTGTCTAATCCAGGTTTCCCAGTGCCTGCCCTCACTGAAGTTCAGCTCTAGTTCCTCTCACCCCAGCACCTTTGCCCTCTCTGAGTCCTGTGTCCCACCAAGCTCCAGCTCTACCTCTCTTCTTTTAATCTCCTCACAACTCTGATTCCACAAGTATCCTGCTGTGTCATTTTTTTTTTTTAATGTTCTTTTTGCATGCCTCTAATAGATGCTTCCTCTTCCCCTTTTCCACTCTTTGCTGATAGAGCCTGTTGACAGTTTTTCACAAGGCACTGGCTTCTGGGCATGTTTAGTTGGAGGACGCTGAGAGGAGACCCCATTGCCCTCTCCAACTCCCTGAAAGGAGGGTGTAGAAAGGTGGGGGTTGGCCTCTTCTCCCAAGGGAATCATGACAGGAGCAGAGGAAATGGTCTGAAGTTGGGGCAGGGGAGGTTTAGATGAGATCTGAGGAAGAATGACTTTCCTGAGAGGGTGGTCAGGCCCTGGAAGGGCCTGCCCAGGGAGGTGGTGGAGTCACCATCCCTGGAGGGATTTCAGAAAGGTGTAGACGTGGCACTTCAGGGCATGCTCTAGTGCCCGAGATGGTGGGGTTGTGTCTGTTTGTGGGGTTTTTTTGTGTAGGTTTCTGGTTTGGTTTGGTTTTTTTGTGGTTGGACTCGATGATCTCTAAGGTCCCTTCCAACCACGAGGATTCTGTGACTCTGTGATTCAGCTCCAAAAACCAGCCTAAGCTGTCCCCACTGCCAGAGGTGTGCTCTGGTCTCTATGTTGCACTTTGCCATTTCCCCTGTTGCTCAGCACAAGCTCTTGTAATGCTAGGCTGTAAGTTAAAACAAGGCTTAAAATAACCTCATAAGGAAAGAACTATTTTAAATGCAAATTGTTTCTGTGGTGCGCTCCACAACGTGTCTTCAGAAACATCAGCATGTGGTAGACTGTGGTGTAGGAAGCGGGAACTTCACAGCCACTTTCACTGCTGCAGCTACTACCTACTGTAGCTACATCCTCGGTGGCATTTGAAATGCAGGCTGTGGCAGTCCTCACTTCCACTACAGCCAAATGTTTGGGTTTGTGTAAAACCCCTGAGGTGCAGAGCAGTCAGGTATCTTAGCAAGACTTTGATGGCCACCATACATTCCTGGACCTGTACTCACACGGGAGCAAACAGCACCCACAGCAGTGGATCCCGTCAACCTCCGGGCAGGAAATATGGCTGATCTACAGTGGTCCAGGGTACCAATATGTTTATCACAAGCCTTTGATGGACTCACCATGTTGCTGCTGAGACCAATCCATACAGGCTCCCCGTGCTTTAGTATTTGTAACCAGAGGTAAGATTCTGCATAAGGGTCCAAAAGGCTGGCGAGTTCTGCAGACTGGTCTCTGCAGTTCTTCTGTGCTTCTTCCCAGGTCATTTTGTAGTTGATGACTGCATAACGGTCATCACCATAATTGTTAAAGCCAAACATTGGAACTACGGGTTGGGAGTTTGGCAATTTGGGGTCTGTAATGAGCAAGCAAACAAAAAGAAAAGTCAAACACTTTATATTGCCTGGACATATAACACTGAGAGGACATCTAGTGTACTAGAGCAGTCAAGTAATTAAGAGAAGCTGGAATAACAAATTAAGGTGCGCCCCAACTATCCCTGCAGTGATGAAAGCCATATTTTCATGTTCTGTGGCAAAATTTTCTAATCCTTTTTAGAATAATCTTTCAGCATAAATACCTGTATCACCTCCAGGAACATGCCTTGCAAGCTCTAGACCTTCCCAAAGCACATAGTCACTGTGTAGGGAATTGAAGGGAACAAACCCCCCAATTTTTCCATGACATATTAGCTTTTGTTGTATATGTGACAAGGAACAGGGTATGGTAACAACACCATGCGCAAGCAGAGGGCTGTACATGCTGCCAATGAAATTGCATAAGTAGGACTGTAAAGAAAATCAATGAGGACAGTTTTTCGGAACAAAGAAGTTGCAGTGCTTTTAAGTGTAACAGTAGAATTTCAGTTTTGAAGACTTTTCCCACAGAAAGACAAACTACTGTTCTTTGTTTCTCCCTCCTGATCACCAAAAATAGTAAAATACATGATGATCCATAGGTATATTTTTTTTTTATTTACTGGTCTAGTACTTAAAATAGTGATTCTTAAGACTTTTTTTCCAAAAAGTAAAATGTGTGCTCATTTTGTTAGAAAGGTCCATAGTGCATGTGATACTGACAGATTAGTTTCACTTAATTCAGCCCTTTTTGGGCTGAATAAGGGAAAGTCACTTTTAACACCAGTTCGACACAACCGCAATACATCAGCTGTACTAGAAAGTGGTGAAAGAAGACTCACCAGAATTTTTCTGGCATATGTAGCTTTTGCTCGCTTTACATTCTTCATCTTTCCATTTCCCTGCCTGTTCAATAGGGTTCTTCGTCATAAAAACACAGTCATCCTACAGAGGAAATGAGATTAACAAGAAAAACATGTGGATGCGTAGGAAACGTTCCTACTCCTGATGGATATACGGGCTCGCTTGTTACATGTGGTCACACACAGGTGAATAATATGAAGATCCAATGTATGAACTCATACAAGCAATGGTCAGGAGCAGTAATATGACAATATTTTTCTGACAATGTTTTGACAATTTTTTGACAATATTTTTTGACAATTTTTTTGGGCCCCCTACCATAAAAAAGACATTGAGGTGCTGGAGCGGGTCCAGAGAAGGGCGACAAAGATGGTGAGGGGTCTGGAGCACAAGTCTTATGAGGAGAGGCTGAGGGAACTGGGGTTATTCAGCCTGGAGAAGAGGAGGCTGAGGGGAGACCTTATTGCTCTCTACAACTCCCTGAAAGGAGGGTGTAGAGAGGTGGGGGTCGGTCTCTTCTCTCAAGTCACAGGCGACAGGACAAGAGGAAATGGCCTCAAGTTGCCCCAGGGGAGGTTCAGGCTGGATATTAGGAAAAATTTTTCACTGAAAGGGTTATCAGGCATTGGAATGGGCTGCCCAGGGAGGTGGTTGAGGCCCCATCCCTGGAGGTGTTCAAAAGACGGGTTGATGTAGTGCTGGGAGGTATGGTTTAGTGATGATGCTCCTTGTTTGTTGTGCGGGTGTCTATTTTTGTCAGTTAGGTTGACTGTTGGACAAGATGATCTTTAAGGTCCCTTCCAACCTAGAAGATTCTGTGATTCTGTGAATACAGCATTTACAACTCAGCCCTAGGGAAGTTTGCACTTGGATGATGGAAGGAGCTGCAAAGCACAGCCCAGAGGGAGGAAGAAGTGTCTGGGACTATCTGCACGTGTATAACCTCTGTGCAGGCACATGTAGGTAGACATGCACGTGCTAGGTCTGGGCCACAGGACATTTCAGCTCTGTCGTTATCCTGGAGGCTATGGGGAAACTCTCCTCAGCACTGAAGCTCTCCTGGAGAGCTGAAATCCTCTTCCTGCCTCAACCCAGCACTAGGATCCAGAGCTGTCACACAGTGCGGTAGTATAGAGGTTGTGATCAGAAACAACATTTTGTGGGGGACACCTCCCAAACCCTTTCCCCTGCAATATGGGCTCTTCATGGAATCATGGAACCACGGAATTGTCAGAGTTGGAAGGAACCTCTAGAGATCATCTGGTCCAACTCCCCTGCTAAAGCAGGAACACCTAGAGCACATTACTCAGGACTGCATCCAGGTGGGTCTTGAAGATCTCCAGAGAAGGGGACTCTCTGGAGAGTCTCTGGGCAGCCTGTTCCAGTGCCCCGTCACCCTCACCATAAAGAAGTTTTTTCTCATATTTGAATGGAACTTTCCATGTTCCAGCTTGAGCCCGTTGCCCCTTGTCCTATCGCTGGAAACCACTGAAAAGGGTCCGGCTCCAACATCCTTCAACTCACCCTTTAGATCCTTGTCAGCATTAATAAGGTCTCCCCTCAGCCTTCTCTTCTCCAGGCTAAAGAGCCCCAGCTCTCTCAGCCTTTCCTCATCAGGGAGATGCTCCAATCCCTCCATCAGCTTTGTTGCCCTTCGCTGGACTCTCTCCAGTAGTTCCCTGTCTCTCTTGAACTGGGGAGCCCAGCACTGGAGGCAGGATTCCAGTTGTGGCCTCCCCAGTGCAGAGCAGAGGGGGAGAATGACCTCCCTCCACACACTGGCCACACTCTTCCCTACGCAGCCCAGGATCCCACTGGCCCTCTTGGCCACAAGGGCACATTGCTGGTGCATGGAAAGGGTGCTATCTACCAGGACTCCCAGATCCTTCTCCTCAGTAGTACTTCCCAGAAGATCCATCCCTAACCTGTATTGGTGCCTGGGGTTCTTCCTCCCCAGGTGCAGGACCCTACATTTGTCCTTGTTGAACCTCATTAGGTTCTTCTCTGCCCAGCTCTCCAGCCTGTTCAGGTCGCACTGGATGGTGGCACAGCCCCAGCATGAGAACCTGCTGCTGTGCTCTCTGCGGGGGGAGGCAGCAGCTCTCCCCACCTCCTCTCAGCCTAAGCCATGCTACCTCCAACACCCCTCAGGGGCCTTAGCCCAGGTCTTGGCTGCAAGTGAATGAAGACATATGTGCAGCAACTTGTGTAGGGAAACGGGCATAGCCTTCTACAGAAAGCATACACATGTGTGTGCTTCACCTCCAGAGAGGTGATTCTGCCACTTTACTCTGCTCTGGTGAGACCTCACCTGGAGTATTGTGTGCAGGTCTGGAGCCCTCAATATAAGAAGGATATAGACCTGATGGAGAGGGTCCAGAGGAGGGCCACAAGGATGATCAGGGGGATGGAGCACCTCTGCTATAAGGACAGGCTGAGGGAGCTGGGGTTGTTCAGCCTGGAGAAGAGGAGGCTCCGGGGAGACCTAATAGCAGCCTTCCAGTACCTGAAGGGAAGCTACAGGAAGGCTGGGGAGAGCCTGTTTAGAAAGGCCTGCAGTGACAGGACGAGGGGCAATGGCTTCAAGCTGGAGGGGAACAGATTTAGACTGGAGATTAGGAGAGGGTTCTTCACTGTGAGGGTGGTGGAGCACTGGAACAGGTTGCCCAGGGAGGTGGTTGAGGCCCCATCCCTGGAGATATTCAAGGTGAGGCTCGATGAGGCCCTGGGCAACCTGGTCTAGTTGGGGGTGTCCCTGCTGACTGCGGGGGGGTCGGACTAGATGGCCTTTGGAGGTCCCTTCTGGCCTGGGCGATTCTATGATTCTATGGGGAACTCCTGGGAATCCCAAAACCCAGCTCTAGACAGGATGGCAGCAGAGGCTGGACCTCACAGAACTTTTCCCTGGTTTAGCTGGGCTCAAAGCAATTCTGTTATGAAAAAGAGAGGAACTTTGTAAGGCTAGCAGGGGAGTATAGAAGTATTACTATCAAGTACAGTATTCTACATTAGCCCTTTTATAATTATTAAATAACACTCAGTTTTGTCTCTCAATTAAACACAAAATGGTATAACAGAGGCAAAAGTTTAAAAGCATGCAGAAGATGTCTTTCAGAAGGAAGACTTGATAGAAGCTATAGAAGGAGAAGACAGAAATGAGAAAGGAAGATCCAGAGTTTCCTGCTTTTGAGGATTTTGTTCAAAGCGGTTGTCTTGAAAAAATATGTATGAAGTTGAAAAAAAAAGTATGAAGGTAGATCTCCCACATGATTATTCTGCTTTTAAAAGCAACAGGATTTCTAAAAGTCTTCATAAAGGAAAATTTGCAGAAAATACAGTTGTAACTACATACATTTTAATTATCTGATAAAATTATAATGTTTAAGGGATAAATAGAAATTAATGTTTACCTTACTGTAATAACTTCGAGAACCTTTTCCCCAATTGGTATAGTAAACTGGGCTTCCATCTGTCCATAAGTATGTGTGCTCCTGATTTATGTCATTCAGTCCAATCCAAGCATCAGTTGCAGCAGTTTTTAAGAGGGACATGAGGAAAGCTGAATGAAAAAAGAACAATTGTACAAGAAAGGAAACTGAATGCACCTTTCCCCAACAGTGCAGTCCCCTTTAGAGTGCCTGGAACCAGGATGGTCAGTTTTGGTTTTCTCTTTTTTAATAAGGTGGTAATCATGATAAAAATAAAAAAGAATAGATGGTCATCTGATGTTAAAGTCAGAAAAAGTATTTACAAACTCAAAGATGGGCAGGTTTCGATACATAAAATTGCTTTCAGATTTTTTTAAGGAATTTATGTGTATACTCTTCTATGCTGTTCACCATCTGAGGAAGCAGGGAAACTGTTTTAATGGTATTACAGAAATTAATGCACGTACACTAAACCTTGGCACATAGAAAATGAGTCTTCAGACTCTGCATTCCCTTTTCTTCTTTGGCAACTTCCTTCTTAACCAGACTTAACCAGAAACTTCATTTCTAAACAGGCATAACACAAACAAAACTACTTATTAACCAAGTATGTATGTACCGGGATCTCAGCTTTTTGAAGGCGAGATGCTTTTTCCCTTAGCTCCTATGCGGACTGCCTTTCCACTAAAAGAATGTCCTTCTTCTGCTATAGAAAAAAGTATAAAGCACAAGCACTGATGGAGTGAGCTGGGAGATGGTGCGTGTAAAGCCCTCAGGACCCAAGGCATCACATTTCCTGAGCAAACATGAGGCCTCAGTAAAAAACCTGTCCAATGCCAAGCAGCAGCAAGGTCAGCAGGCTGAGGTCCAGCAGAGCAAGGGGCAGCAGGGAGAAGTTGGGACTCCAACATTGGAGCCTTCGTCTGCCTGAGGATGTGTCCTCCACTGACCCCACAGCATTTGGCTCACCAGCTAGGAGCATGATGACTTGGTTTGGATATTACTCCCTTTGGGTGCTGCTTTGACATGTACACTTAGAGAAATTAAAATATGGATATGTATTATATGACAAGCCCCTAATACAAAACCTTAATATTTGAACAGTATGAATTGTTTTGTATGCCCTATATTAACCCCAAAGCTAGGATTTTAAAAGTTAATCAAGATACTAAAACGTATGCAAGCAATTTTCCAAGGGTGCAGTTTCCCATTCAACATAACTTTATATTAATATGACATAAATAATAGCATATATTGCAGAAGCTATAACATCTGTTTTAATCTGTTTATCAGGAATTACTTGATGCCTCATTCAATATCAAAATACTGGTACTTTATACCTTGTATTTCCTTTTTTGATATAGTAGCCAGGTTTCCTCCAAAATCAATGCAATTGTTCCGCGCACCATGCCATGTCAATGTGTCATTTTCATTAAGGCCAAATACTTTGAAACACTGCAAAAGAGAAGTGTGCCAAATCTGTAACTGGGTGACATTTTAGTTTCTGGTGCAAACATCTCTGTTTGTAACAAGATAAACTGGATATTTTAAGCAAAAAGGGAGATTGGCTAATTTAGCAGCCCTTTCTAGTCTTTAAGTCTTTATGAAGAAGATCTATATCAGAAAACTAACATGAAGTCCAATATTTTAGCATTAACTTAGAAGGAATATGGCAGTTTATTGATTTCAGTAGAAATTGTGTTAAAGCTTCTGGGCACGCTTCTGAGGTGTGACTTAGTGGGAGGAAAGTCTAAGAAGACCTCAGAAAACTAGCAAGGCTAAGATGTTGTATCGAAGCTAAACCTCTGAGCTTCTGTTGGCCTTTTTGGCAAACCGGGTTTGGTTCTCACAGGATAATGACAGAAAGAGAATGATTCTGACACTACAAAGAAAACCACGATTTTACCATTTCTTGTAAAATGATCTGTGAGATTTAAGATGCCATCAGACACCTTTGTCAGGATCAAGCAACATAACATCAATGTGCTAATTAAAGCACGCAACTGAAAAGCTGATGAGGAAATTCTGGCCAAAAAGGGAGGTAGGTCCAAGAGAGTGGGAAGGCATGTGTAAACGCTTGGAGAGGTGTCAAGGAAGGATTCTTTGGAAGCTCCTCTTCTAGGAGGTGAGGAGGAGAGAGACACTTTAGCTCCAGAGAGCACTACGAAAAGAAATAAACTTTGAGTTTGTGTCTCTTTTCCCTAGGAGTGAGAGAGGGAAGGAAGAGAAGACAGCAGCCAGTGGATCTCTAACAAAGGAGATCTATTACACTGAAATCATATTTGGGTTTAGCCAAAAGAAAGACAGATGGAACTAGTTGAGGCAAGTTTTTTCTCAACACAATATACTGTTGTTTTATAGCTGTTATAGCGTAATTGATGAAAATCTATGAATTTTCAGTAGTGAGTGTCTCTTATCATGAACTTCTGTCTTTTGAGAAGGCTAATAGTGATCTTACATAGTAGTGTGGTGAAGATTATAACTGGATTATTTTAAAACCTTAACAGATGTTTGGTTATAGAAAAAAACTTGACAAATCTGCTCAAGGGAAGGTGCCTTAGTAGCTTAAGAGCCAGTGCACAGAAAGCAACGAATGAATAAGTGTCCAGGCAACCTGTGACAGCCAGATAAGCTCTGTACCGTAAACATGAACATGCAACAGGAGGGAAGTTGCTCAGCTATCCTTTGCAACATTAAACATAAGCAAAAAGATAAGATGAATCTTTCTTCTTGTTTGTCTCATGACCTCCCTCATAACTGCTGTGATCCCAAGAGAGGCTATAATTTCTCTTTCAGGAATCGTATTTTTAGAGTTTTTAAATACACACAATCAGAACATATTTTGTGACAACTGAAAACTCTGCCACAACTGAAAAACTGAATCAAAGATGGATTTTATTCTGCTCTTTTTAAAATGCAATATACTGACATTTCATACTGCACCTTGTTATCAAAGAGGAGCCAGTCTTCTGGACACCCACCCTTTGGTGGTGGTGAAGTGGGAGCAACAGTTGGACGAATAGTACTGTTAAGCCTTTCACAAATAAATAACTCAACACTGCCACAGTTGAGATCATTCCATGTACCTGAAAGCAAATTAGAACAAAAAAACCTCCAAAATGCAATTGAGACTGCGATAAAAAGTGTCCTTTCCTAAAGCAAATCTATCACAGGAAAGTAGAACTGGTTACAGTATTTTTATTTCTCTCCCCAACAAATAACGGATAATTTTTATGTATGTTCCCTAGAAATATTCAAGTTTCCGACAACATTCAGAATATGAATATTTTGTCTGAGAACAGAAATATGTGAATATTGCAAAACCATAGCATTGCCAAAGGGGAGTTTTAATTCAAGTGCTTAGTTCAGCTCTCTAAGTTCTGTAAGATCTCTAGAGTCACTCTGTCTATATAAGGTACTTGGTCCTTGTTACCTTTCTACCTGAGCTTCTCACAGTCTTTTGGTCTTCTGGGTATCTTTTCTCCCTATGGGAGTGTGATGTAAGAATATAACATTAACATCTTATCCCCATTTTACAGATCAGGAATAAGAAAATGGCATTCATTTCATTAGCTGCAGACACTTAGAAGGTAATTACCTACAGTAGAGCTAGTCATACCTTTTATTTAATGGAGATACTGTCATTATAATTTAGTGAAGTTAAGGACGTAATTCATCTTATCTTAAGGAAGATCTCCAAAACAGGACACAATATTAACTCCCCAAAAATGTTCACTTCCTCCCGTTGATCTCTAATAGAGCCTAGAAAGATTACCTCAGCTAGAGATTTTGAGACTAGAAATGTTTAAGAGTAGAAGAGATTAACTGCTACAAATAAGATTAAGTGCTTGGCTACTGTAAGCACAATTGCTTGCAACGCTCTATATTAAATGATATTTTTTTTTCTTTTTTAAATTAAAATAGTGTATCACATGGTTTAGTAATAATCAAAGCCATGCTCAAGCCTTGGATTTTTAGAACTGCACAGATGATGACAGCTGATGCTCTTGAGAGACAGTCATAAAATGGACAGAGGTTAGATGGAAAACAATACTGACTCTATTTGCTGGTCTGATGCTTATCGGATTTGTTCACACTGCAATTTTCTGTCAAAGCCAGGAATCAAATTGCAGGTGTAACCCAATGTGTTAGCTACAAAGAGTTGAATTTTTTAAAAGTGCATAAATGAGAGAAGCGACTATGATTTATTTTCCTATGTTTTTTTAAACACTCCATCAAACACCAGCCTGTTTATTATCATAACTCACCCAGCCTTGCACATGCAGCCCTCCCAATCCTGTCCCACACCACGTAGACTGAATGTTGTTACAACACCCACCTGTTTGGGCATACATGACCACACAGTTTTCATCATTATTTGCAAAATTGGGTTCATTTGGAGCCCAGGCAACATAGTTCACTGGAGTTCCATCCATCCACCTGAAAGAAGCGATTTGGGATAATAATAATTCTTAGTTGAATTAGTTAATATTTCTTTGTAAAGTATGTGTTAGAGGTTTGTATTTTAAGTTTCCTAGATTTTAGCTTACAAACACATGTTGTTCTCTGGTAAAAGAAAACCAAGACCTTCCAATTGGAATTAGTAAGAAATGTCTTTATATCAACTGCCTGTTCTGTTGACCTGGACCAGGTCTGAACTACTCCTCTCAACTGGTGATCCCAGCCTTTCTTGGTCTCTGAGCACTGATAGCCTGCAGGAAACACACCAGTGTAGCACTGGACCTGGTGTTCTCTGGAGGACAAGAACAGAAACCTGAGCTTATTTTGTAATTTTCTGGGGCCAAAAGCAGTAATAAAAGATCTTGTAGGGTAAGATAGAGCCTTGAACCACTTGACGGTCGGACCATTTTGTTAAACAAAGGGAACTTTAATATTATACAGCCATTGCTTTCAGTCGTGCAACAATCATTTCCTGGTTGGGTGATTCACAAATTCATTCTCAAAAAGTAGCCAAGAAGACAGTGAAAAAGCCTCAGTGTTCCAGAAGGAGGAAAGTCACGTGGGCGAACTGCCAAGATTACAAGCCTTCAGACAGCATCAGTTACAGGGCAATTTAGTGTTTTTCCAGTTTTGGAGACTAAGCAACTCTATGTGTGTTTTTTTCAGGTAAACTACAAGTAAGGAATTCAACAGGATGCCTAGCTGCTTCCACTTGCAAATCTCCCGAGCCAAATATGAAAAAACAGTTCCTAATAAATTGGAAGAAATAATATGAAGTCAAATAGTGGCACCATCATCCAGCAGAGAGGAGGACAAAATTATTGAGGGAGCAAGGGAGAGTTGGACAAACAACTGAGCAGTGGATGTGATGAAAAAAGCAAGAGCTCCAGGAGATGACAGCATCCAGTCTCTGTGGCTCATGGCTAAGCAAGGCATCCTGAGAAGAAAGGCTGAAATGAAGAGGCTGAGACTCATCTGACCAGGCTTCAAATCCCAGGAGAAGGCACTAGAAAAAGAAGGGGGAGGAAGGGGGCAGGGAGATGGAGAAGAGTGCCACAGGAGAAGTGTGTCTGTAACTCATCTAAGGCTCCGTGGGAGGTTTATTCCCAGGGCAATTTGTTTTTGAAGACATCTGTAGAAGAGTAATGACTCCATGCAGCCTGAAGCTGTCCAGCCCTGGGCTCTGACATTAAAACTGTCCAGAAATTACCTCCCAGACAAGGGCTTTCCAGTATTGATGGTTCACCTCTAAAAACCAAAATGATGCCTCATTGCAGGCTTTGTAGGTTTGGTTTGTTGTTTTTTTCTTTGATCATTTGAATATTCAGTAATGTCTGCAAGTACCTTCTGAAACTTCCTAGAGACCTCCAACCAATTTTATGTTTCATCTAACAAGGAAAAGGGGATGGCACTGAACTGACTGTGAGTGAACGTCTCAGCCTCACAGTACAAAAGAAGCGGAAATAGTGAAAATATTATGGGAGAAGTGCTCCCCTGAGGAATAGAGTCATATTTTAAGCTTTATGTCAAGACATGGCTGTAGATAGATTTTGTCAGCCATTGAACTTCAACAGTCTTTTACAGACGGCCGTGCCAAATATTCATGTTATGAGTCTGAAAAACTTAATTTGTTTTTACTTACCGGAATGTCCTATCAAGGCTCACACTTAAGCCAATGTAAAAGTTATTTCCCCAGTCTTTATAGAAAGTCTAAAACATAAAAAGTAAGAATTTTAATGAACTGTGACAAAACAGATTTCAAATAAAATAAGCAAGCTCTCAAAAACTGCTTTTGTTTCAGTTCTGCAATTGTATAATATGCAAAGCACAGTATGTGCCTGAATTGCAAAATGCAATGTTTTCCTCCAATTTCCAGTATTTGATATTTTCTTAAAAAAAAAAACCAAAACAAAACAGAATGTGATGAAAAAGAAATGGAGCAAAAAGCTATGTTAAAAATATAAGAACCACCTCTTAAGCAGGCCACAAAATAAAGCAATATTTTTAAGGGTTTTAAAAAAGAATAATGAGAATTTGCCGAAAGGTTACAAGTAAATGGTAGGGTTTAGTACTTAGTCATGTGGAGGAAATGATGGAATCATATTTGGTTTTAATAGTATGAAACTATTTCCAAAAGAGTACATCATCATCAGGTTATTCTCTTCCTATTAGAAAACATTCTGTCTTAAACCTTTTGCTGAAAATCTGAAATCTGTTTTGGCAAATAAAAAGTGAAAAGGTTTTTCTTGAATTCTGTGAAGAAAATGAGTTGGAAAACAAAGCATACTCAGAAACTAGCCTTCAGCTAAACAAAGAAAGTTTTTGGAAGTTTGCACCATAAGAGTGTTCACGAAAGGAAGCTGAGGATTTATCTATATGTAGCAATTTATCAAAATAATGATTATGGTAAACCTTCTAAGTAGATAACCCCATGAAATGTGGCACTGATTTTTTTTTATGATGGGGACCACTTTCTAATACTTCATAAGCCAGCTGAAAAAGATGCCCCAGTAAAGGACAGAAGAGTGCATTTTTGAAGTAAAACATGTTTCTTACGTATTTCCAAAGAAAATTTCTTTCACTTTCACTCTCAATGACAGCAAGATCACTACCATTCTTCTTACAGAAGTCCCTAGCTTTTTCCATAGGCATTGGATCCTTGCTGAAGTAGTATTCCTTGTGATTATATACTATCCAGTCTTCTTCACCAACAACATATGAATAATCTGCAAGGTAAAACATTAAGCAGTCTGTAATAGAACTTAACATCATTATTTATTAATTTTATTTGTTACTGGAAGTAGAAGACTTACTGAATGTGGAACTAGGCTCTGGTTTCAGTGGTGCTCCTGCAATGTAAATCAATGTAAATCAATATCTTAGTGGTTTATATTTCTCAGACATTTCTCAATTAAATATATGTATAGCGTTTTTAACAATTTAAAGTTTTAAATGAAAAAAATGGTGCTACACTGAGCAAAATACCATATTAGAGCCAATCACAAGTTAAGTTTACAGAAACTATGCCCAACTTTAGGCTGCTGTATGTCATTTCCTCAACATGCTGGGTATACACCCCAACTTACATGTGTATCTCAGGGATTAATTTATAGGTTTGAACTGCTTTTATTTAAACTGAAATGCATTGTGTTTCATTGTGTTTGATGGCACAGCTGGATCTAATCCATGCAGATAGTGTGATCGGACCTGGGAAGGATGCTCATATCTGTCTCTAAAAGTTGCTTAAGGAAGAAAGTCCTCTTACCTTTTTTGATTTGGCAAACATAGTCCTGCATATATTCACAATATAAATCATTCCAGTTCATATTATTGTAGCCACTAAACACACCACATTTTTCATTTCCATCATAGTTGTTTGGTTCTCCATGTGCCCATTTTTCAAAATTTACCTAAAGTGGAAACACAGCTTTGTTACTACTTTCCTTTTAAAGAGAAACAATTGTCTTATATTGTCCTGTTAAAGAAAAGTGTGCTTCATTTGATTTCATCGTCCATCTTGTGCTTTTAAGAAGAAGGACATGACCCTTGCATACCAATGATTCCTCTGTGTATGTTAGTGGCCATGTTAGTAAGCCAAGAAGTTGTTGCCCTCCTTGTTAGCAGGAGAGATGAAGTTCTCCTGCCAAGCTCTGGAAAGACATATCTAAGTACCATCGTCTGACCCCTGGGTTGATCATCCTGTTCTGATGTTTCAGCCTGAGACAGTGACCTTAAGGTCACTTGTGGCTTGTATAGGAGGAGTTGTGAGAGCTATCTGTCAAGACGTGTGTGGAAAATTAGAAAAAAAGATGGAATAATAAATAATTTACTCACTGGTGAGCCATCACTCCATATAAATCCGCCATCGGAGTCCAAGGCACTTAAACCCATCCAGTAAGAAAAGTGAATATATTCTCTCCTTCTGAATCATTACAAATATAGACAATCAGACACAGTGTGAACTTGAGAAGAATATATATCATCACAGTATTCTCGGTGGTTTTATGTTTGAAGTATCATTTGAAATAGTCATATAAAGTGATCGTTCAGTTGCCATGTGGGGAAAAACACCCTGGGCACTGCATGTGGCAGGAAGCAGTGAAACACAGAGCTTCATGGGAAGGGTCACAGCTGTCGTGAGTACACAGATACTGAGTTAAATGAAAATATATTTTAAGGTCTTGGTTTGATCAAGTATCTTAAGCATCCAAATTCAGACATGTCTGTACTCATGGGCTTGATTTAAACATTTATATAAGCGCATCACTAGGTCAGGCTTTCCTTAGTCTCCCAATTTTTCCCCTTAACTAAGGAAAGAAAGCAGCACAAACTATTCCTTTAATCAAGAGTATTTCACCTACTGATCAAAATGAGCTAAAAAGATCAGTTTTATCCTTTCAAACTAAAATCGGTTTAAGCCAATTTTGGTGATCCTTCTTTCATTTTTGTGTACATTCAGGCCACTTCCATGCATAGCATCACCTTCCCAGAGGCTTGCCAAGAAACCCTTCCACTCGCCTCTTTCTACCCGTTTCCTTCTGCTACTTTGCAAGGATATACACAGCCTTTGCAAGGTAGAAACTGATCACCAGAAGTCCCTTATGTCTTTCAGAAAGGCCATTTTTCAAATGCCTTTTTTCCCCCCTACATTTAAATGACGCACTGTGCAGATACTTACAAGCTAATTATTAGATTTTGTTCTTCTTCACTGTGGATACATGCCAGATCTCCTCCAATGGCTCTGCAAAAATCTCTTGCACCAAACCATGTTTCCATTTTCTCCCTTCCTCGCTGAAAAATCTATAAAAAGTGGACAGTTAAATACTGTGTTGGGTACCACAGAAACTTAGAAACAGCACTGTGGGCTTCTATCCTTCATCTGGTCTTCTGGTCTCTAGGTTTTATCACTTACTATTTAACTGTGCAACCATAGGCCTGTAGTCCTCTACCAAATTTGATTATTTCAGCTTTGCCTTTCATACCATCTCCAAGTCCTAGTGACTCCAAACTTACTTCAACCTACATACAGCACTTCCCAGCACTTCCCTGACACATGACCTGGGGATGGCTGGAGACGTGTTACCCTCCGGGAGGTACCAGGTAGGCAGGGTAAAAATCCACCTTCCACGCACACATGAAACGTGCTCTCATTTGAAAAGACAAAGGTCTGCATTCAGAAGTTGAACACCTACTTTGAAGCAGAAGCTGCTCTGAGAAACTGATTGCCACCCATCTGGGCACGATGGGAGAGGGAGCACCGTTGGAGGAGGAGGGGGAGTCGCTCCCTCTACCAGCTGCTTGCAGAGAAACAGGTTTGTTTCTTCACAGTTCAATATATCCCATAATCCAGCAGAAGTTCCTGTCGTCATGGCCACGCAGCCTGACTCCCTTCCTGCATGAAACATTTTTTTTTTAACTTTATTGATAAATAGCAGCATCTTCTCAAAGAACATGCTACTTAATTAGATGTAACCTGTCCCCACTGTGTTTGGATGCCAATAGATTACAGTAGCTCATGTGCACCTCAATTAAATCACAAATAAACTTTATCAAATTTTTTTTACGTTACACTATGAATCACCACCCATCAAAGCCACCAAACAACAAGGAATGATACCAGCAGACATATAAAGTCCTACCTGGTCTACTGGAAGGAACTACCATGATCTCTGATTTAAGCCCTTTAGCAGAAAATTGCAAAGTTGTTTTTTCCACTTTATGCCATCAGAGTTTCTAAACCACTATTTAGCTTTAAAACCCTCACTTCCCAGGCCCCCGGAGTGGAAAATCAGTGGCCCTCATGGCACGTACCAGGCATCCCCGTGTTCCAGTGGGTGAAGGTGACAACATCCCCGCTGGCCCACTTGAACGTCCCCTGCTCCTCTGTATCTGAGAGACCAATCCAGAAATACTTTGCTGGATTGAATCCAATTACAGAAGTGAAAAAAGCTTGTTCATATCTGTGAAGAGTAAGTACCAAACTGATGTATTGCGTTTTACCGTAATTCGTTCATTTCCTCAAAAAATTCATTGTAGTAAATCTGGTAAAGTTAAGGTGTTTTGTTAATATGTGGGAAAAGATAAGTATGGATTGAAGCAAGGGTGATGATCTTACTTTAAGAGTTCTAACTCTCATATAAATTAATTTTTATTTTATATTTTGGTAATGTAAATACTGTTTAGAATTTAGCGTGATTCTGTTCTCCTTTTTTACTGCACAATGAACACCACGAGCCAAACAGTACTTGTCTTAATGCATATATGCTATTCATTCTTTATAAATAAGTACTACAGTGTTTTACGAAGTCTAGATAAGGTCTAGATCTTTAAATCTTGGTTACTCTGGGGCAAAAATTCTACTCTTTCTAAAAAGGGTAAGTTTAGAGATCCGACTGTTACAACGAAAAGGCTGAAAAGCTCAAATCCAGAGGAAATACATATTTCTGTGCTTATCTGTTTATTTTTAGTACAATAGATTTTAAAATAATCTGGCAATTTGGGATTGTTGGGGGATTGAGGCAATTTTCTAATTCTTGGAGTCAACAACAGTGCAGGCGTGTGGCCTGAATTCTTGAATTGATGACATCAAGCCCCTGACATATTTTGTGATACTTCTTCACTTCTACCATAAGTTTTCCAGCCAAGGACTGGTGTCACATGGGACACTATGAACATATGCAAAGAAGGGTCTCCTGTTTGGCCCTTCCATGCTGGGTGCAAGTATGAAAGGACAAGAATTACGTTTCCATACCTGTCTCTCACAGAAGCCAGGTAACTTTGGTTTTCTTCACAGATTTTTTTTGCTTCTAAGAAGGTTGCTGGTAACTGCCCCACGGAGTAACAGTAGAAGCCGTGCTTCATCCAGCCCTGTCAGTGTCAACAGCAGAGATGCAGGGAGGGGCTGTCAGATGGTGCACCACAGCACGCTTCCAAAAGCCACCTTCATACCACACCCCCAGCCAAAACTAATCTCAGAAACAGTGAGAGGAAATGAAGAAGATAATCGGACACAGCTTTTGTAACCACAACTGTGTGTCTTGCCCTTTGATGAAGGATGCACAAGCTGCAGCAAGCCGTGGTTGTGACTTGGAGAATGGCGAGCGTGCCCACAGCCGCTGCGTGGCTCCTCGTGTAAAGCCTGCCCTGCTCTCTGTGTGTGCAAGTCCAGCTGTTGCAAGAGGCTCCAACAAGTTGCAAAATGTTCAGCTCGATAGTCAGACAGCAGTGTACCCAGGTGGCCAAGAAGGCCCCCAGCATCCTGGCCTGTGTCAGGAGCAGCGTGGCCAGCAGGAGCAGGGCAGGGATGGTGCCTCTGGACTGGGCACTGGTGAGGCCTCACCTCCAGGGCTGGGTTCAGTTCTGGGCCCCTCACTACAGGAAGGACATTGAGGGGCTGGAGCGTGTCCAGAGGAGAGCCACCAAGCTGGGGAGGGGTCTGGAGCACAAGTCACACGAGGAGAGGCTGAGGGAACTGGGCATGTTGAGTTTGGAGAAGAGGAGGCTGAGGGGAGACCTCCTTGCCCTCTCCAACTCCCTGAAAGGAGGGTGTAGAGAGGTGGGGGGTGGCCTCTTCTCCCAAGGGAATCATGACAGGAGCAGAGGGAATGGTCTGAAGTTGGGGCAGGGGAGGTTTAGATGAGATCTGAGGAAGAATGACTTTCCTGAGAGGGTGGTCAGGCCCTGGACGGGGCTGCAAAGGGAAGTTGTGGATTCACCATTCCTTGAGAGATTTAAGAAAGGTGTAGATGTGGCACTTCAGGGCATGCTCTAGTGCCCGAGATTGCTGGGTTGTGTCTGTCTGTGGGTGGGTGTGGGGTGTGGTTGTTGGGTGGGTTTTTTAGTGGTTGGACTCAATGATCTCAAAGGTCCCTTCCAACCATGAAGATTCTGTGATTTTGTGATTCTGTGATTCATGCCTCCTGCAGTGGATTGATGGAACTGTGAGGGCAACCCAACAATGTCACTCAGAGAGCAGCTCTTGGGGGGGAAAAGTTCTGCACTGGGAGAGAGATGAGTGAAGTGTGCACGCAAGGGAGTGAAAAAAAAAAAAAGAAGTCAGTCTAAATTTTGTTTAAATAAAGAAAAAAATTTCCCCATTAGTCTGAGAAGTATCAATGCAGACAAAACTAACATCCATCAAGAACAGTCAAAATAATTGATTTCTGTGATGCTCACTATCATGGGGGTAAAAGTAAGATGCAACCACCTTTCACTGCTTTTCTTTTACACTTACTTTCTGGCAGCCTGGGTAAGTAACTTCAGCTTCCCCTGATTCTTCTGCCAAAGGTTTCCTTTTACAAACATAACCGAGTTTCACTTCACAAGCTCTGTCAGCCCAGGATCCATCCTGAGGAAGGCAAGAAGAAACCATAAAGAGAAATGAAACCTAGAGAAAATCCATATCAAACAGGAATATTCACCATCCTCAGAGAGAATCCTTCTCTCTTCGCATGGCTGGGACTGTTCCGGTTCTCTCCCTTGCCCTGATGCTTTCTCCAAAACCCCCAAATCAGGAACACAATGAAGACAGTGAGGACCACATTTCCCTAGAGCCGTGAGAGTTGCGTGCAGGAAGGAAACACGCTGCTCCACTCTATTCTCACCAGCACAGTATTTATTATGAAAAATATGAAAAAATTATAGTTAAAGAATTTTTCCCCAGTATTATGATATGTCATTTTATGCTGAGTATTAAACAAGATAGAACTTTTTGCTCCTAATTTTTTGTGCCTCCAATAATACGAGCCTTCAAAGTAGCTTTAATAAACCTATATTTTAGATGGTTTAGGGGAAACATAAGGAAGTCCCTGCTCTGAGAATATAGTCTGCAGCTATGATCAGCCAAATTGAATGTGAATGATAAATTACATCAACCAATTTCAGATGGCAGACTTGTTGTAGCTGTTGTAGAGCAGACCAAGTCTCAGGCTTCTGGTGCTCTACTCTACAGCTTCCTAGATCTGCTCTCCAGTCTCCCACCACACTAAGATATTCAGAATTAAACCAAGTTCTTAAAAACCTTTAAAATGCTTGTCCCTTTTTACTTTTTTTTTCAATTTTTTTTTTTTTTTTGGTCACAGGTGGGGTTTTTTGGAGGGAGCACAAAGGACAGAAGAAAGTGTGAAAGTGGGAGAGGGACTTTTACCTCTCCCTTCATAACGATGCAGTCTGCCTTATTCCGCGTGTGGGTGGGCTCTCCGCGATGCCATTTGGTGTAAGTCACAGGTGTCCCATCACTCCATTCAAAATACATTGGAACCCTGAAGTCATTTAGACCAATCCACAGCTCATCCTCTGGCTCTGGGGACACAGAGGTAAGGGTATGGCTTAATGTGGAACAATCACAGCTCACACCCACTTTTGACTGAACAAGGACGTTTTAAAAAAACATTTAAGATGGAGGTTAAAATGATTAAATGAATAATAGCAAGAGTATAATTCCAGATTTAAAAAGTGACCTGCAGGAATACTCACTGTACCCAAGCTGAGACACTGTAAAACTGTACTCCTCAATATTATGAATACTCGCCAGCTCTCCATCTTCTTTTCTACAGGAAGACTGCGCTTCTTTCCATATTTTGGGTGTTTTGTAAATTCTGTAGCAATGACCTGCATAGGCCACCCATTCCCTGGGGCACTTAAAATGCTTTAAGTCACCTAAAAAAAGTTATTTCAAACAATTAATAAGCAGTCTTATTCAGTGCTTTCTTTTAATCAAAAAGAAAATTACCTGGACTGATATGAATTTTAAATATTGGAGCACATACAGGCAGGGGAGGGAAGCAAAGGTCTGAGAATCATAGAGATTCTGAGGTCATAAAGAATACAAACCAGATTTTTCCACACAAGTTGTGCTGGGAACGACCCATAAACTCTTTTGAATGAATGAAATACCTACTAAGTAATTTGGCATGTAAACTTGCAGGGCACAATGCCATGTTAAATATCCCTCAGTGAGGTTCTGGGTACAGCCATGTTTTACAGAAAAGCAGCTCTTTTCCTGCACAGGGACTTGATTTGGTGAGTTTTGGAGATTTCGGATGTTTTTTCTCTGGGAATGCCAACTGCTTGGGAGCCAATTTGAGCTCCTGTAGAGCCCAAATCATACATCAGAGAGCCCAGACATATTTCTATGTTATACCAGACGTGTCAGAATTCCCAGCTGCACAAAAATGCCACACATTGTGGCTATTTCTTGGATGTGAATTGAGTATGACCAGCCATCCTCCACTGCTTTGAAGGTTCACACCATCTGCACCTACAAAGGAAACTGAAGAGGGCAGGACATGTACCCAGCGTTGGTGTGTGGTCAACCACATTGTTCAGTGCCTCCTGGACGTGGTTTTGACCTGTGCAAACTTGCATTCTTCTAGGCAACATCCAGTCACAGTTTGGAGGATAGCATGGGTCAGAAACCATTCCTAGTAAGATGTCTGGAAGCAGCCAGAATGTACAGGATGCAGGCTATGATGTGCCATCCATCCCCAAAACCAGAGAGTAATCTTATATACTAGTATATATGTAGCTGAAGGAGTTACTGTAGAGTTAGTAACATGCTGGGAATTCCCAGGTGAAGTAACTTCCATTTCCTTCACATAGATAAGATCTAGTTTGCCTCAGGTGCAAAGGGAACTCAATTGAGAAAAGGTGCCAGCCCCATATTCTGAAATTTTCCTTTCAGAATAGAGCAAAAAGGGGCAGAGAGAGCAGGGAGAACATGAACCCTGGCTCACATCTTCTTGCAGAATACATTTTTAGTGTATTTTTCACAGCACAGGATATTCACCAGCCTTTTGTCACCTAGATAACATGAGTAAACACAAAATTCTGCCTTCTTTTGTACCCTGGGATCTTTTCAAAATGATGAACATCTAGACATCATCTTTAAAATGAGCCAGAAAATTAAAGTCTTCTCAGCATTTGACCCAGTTCAACAAGTATAACCCTTTTGTTTTCACCATATACTGTCATTTCATATATGGCATCCTCCCAGTATTTCTTATTGCAAAATCAGCCTTATTTTTTGACCAACTTACCAGAGGCAATAGTGGAGGAATCTGAAGAGGAGTTTCTCTTTTGGCAGATATATCCCAGTTTGCGATCACACGCCTCGTTTTCCCATTTGCCGTTCCTACCTTGGAAGGTCCCACATATTTTTCCGGATTCCATAGAGGGATTTCCTTTAGGAAAGAGGCACAACATACAGAGAATACCTCTGTTAACACTGAAAATTTTCACGTCATCACAGGAGGGAACACACAAGTCTTTTGCCATTATCAAAATAGGTAATATGGTAATGTGCAAGATGGTGACTTGGATTCTAAGAAGAAAGTGGAAACTTGCTAAGATAATGTACATCAGATAAATGTCATAAGCAGTAACTGAGTAGAACAACTGAAAATATTTTTTTATGCAATGTTTCTGTTCAGGTTTTTTTCTCTTTTCTTTACATTCTCTTGATATAATTTTTCATTAGTTTTTTGTTTGAATAATATGCCTGATGAGAAAATTATGGGTGGGAAAAAATATGGAACAATCTGTAGATATTTGTTTCAAACTATTTTGTTAGATGAGCTTTCTGCTTTTTCTGGGAAATTCAGAATTAATGGTGATCCATGTCTGGTGTTATCCCTATTTCTGTAATATCCTAGCGTTTCCAGAATCCCCTGTAATCTGTGAAAATTCTATGAAACCAAAGGAATAAGGTAACAGGAATTTGGGGAACAGAAGAGAAATTCAGCCCAGACACCGATCATTGTTTCAGATAAGTGAACTTACCTGGAGCCCAGTTTAGGTATCTGAAGGGACTGCCCCCAACCCACTGCCAGCCACCATCAAGTGCACTGAAAAGACCAGTCCAGAGCTTTGCATCTACACCCAGGCTGCTGGTGATCCCTAAATGGGCAAAAGAAACCAACAGTCATGTTATTAGATGCCTCTGATTTTATATGTTGCTCAATAAAACTTGAAATAAAATTTTAAAGTGTGGAAAAAATGTCATAGTGATTTTTTTGGTATAGGTCAGATTTATTCCACTATTTTAATACATTGTTTGTGAGAAAGTGACAAGCTGTTTTAAGAATGTCACTAAGACCTATTTTTACAAGGTAAATATAAGAATCCATGTTTAAGGTCTTTGAGCTGACCTACATTTTAACCATATGCATTAATTTGTTTGTTGATTTTTTTTTACTTTACCTAGTAAATACATTCCTTCATGAAGGTCTGTGACACTTAATAATTCTGCATTCTGCTGCTGGCAGCTTTTTCTTGCTTGATGCCATGTCAAAAGGGATTCTGAGTTTATCTGGTAGCGTGTTTCTGTCACGGGATTTGTTTTCCAAAGGTCACTGTGGATGGTGTCTATAAAACATGGTAACAGCAACTTGACAAGATAATCATACTTGCTTATGCAGAAAATAAAATCTTCATTGCAGACTAAAACTATGTAGCTGTATGATTTACTAATTTTTTACATGTACTTTCCCCCACATGTATACCTTGTACATTCAATGTTAACAATACATAAATAACAAAAGGAATTATTTCTCCTTACAAACGTAATTCTTCTACTTTCACCATGTTCTTTTTATTTATGTAACTCATCTACTTCTCCCACAGTTCAAGCCACATTAACCCACTCACTGATGTATTCTACCCATACACACGTTTCCCTATTCCCTATACAGAACATCTTCTTACCTTGAGACCCCTCTTATGCTCTCCTAGACCTCCCAACATGACAGAAACCATCATTTCCAATCAGATGTGGAGCAGGCATGAAGGGGTTGTGCTGGGCTCACTAGCTGTGTTGGGTGATTTGTGGGTATAAGGAACACCAAGGGCAAGCGAAGGTCACTACCCGTGTCTTGCAGCCTTCCATTCACTCCAGCCTTCCTCTTCTCTGCTCTATCCTTTGATACACCACTGCCTCTTGCTTCCCTTCCTCATCCATTGCACTTCTTTCCGCCTTTAATTTGCCCTTTCTTCTCACCTACTCCTAGGGGATTTCTCTTCCTCCTGCCTTCTCTTCCTCCTCCCTTCCTCATCACCACCCTCACAATACTCCCTGTCACAGAATCACAGAATCACAGAATCACAGAATCTTCACGGTTGGAAGGGACCTTTGAGATCATCGAGTCCAACCACTAAAAAAAAAAACGAAAAAAACCTCCACAAACAGACACAACCCAACGATCTCGGAATCCAACCACTAAAAAAAAAAACCAAAAAAAACCCTCCACAAACAGACACAACTCAACAATCCCAGGCACTAGAGCATGCCCTGAAGTGCCCCGTCTACACCTTTCTGAAATCCCTCCAGGGATGGTGACTCCACCACCTCCCTGGGCAGGCCCTTCCAGGGCCTGACCACCCTCTCAGGAAAGTCATTCTTCCTCAGATCTCATCTAAACCTCCCCTGCCCCAACTTCAGACCATTTCCTCTGCTCCTGTCATTATTCCCTTGGGAGAAGAGGCCAACTCCCCCCCCTCTACACCCTCCTTTCAGGGAGTTGGAGAGGGCAATGAGGTCTCCCCTCAGCCTCCTCTTCTCCAAACTCAACATGCCCAGTTCCCTCAGCCTCTCCTCATGTGACTTGTTCTCCAGACCCCTCCCCAGCTTGGTGGCTCTCCTCTGGACACGCTCCAGCCCCTCAATGTCCTTCCTGTAGTGAGGGGCCCAGAACTGAACCCAGCCCTGGAGGTGAGGCCTCACCAGTGCCCAGTCCAGAGGCACCATCCCTGCCCTGCTCCTGCTGGCCACGCTGCTCCTGACACAGGCCAGGATGCTGGTGGCCTTCTTGGCCACCTCGGCACACTGCTGGCTCATGTTCAGCTGGCTGTCCACCAACACCCCCAGGGCCTTTTCTACTGTATGTACCAATCTCAGGAGCGCTGCAGAACTACTTCTCATCTCAGCTGGAAAACCAGTGAGCGTGAAGAACAGGTAGCTCGTTTTGTCATTGCAGAGCTCACCAGTGAACTAAGCGAGCCAGGATCCAACACACTGTCTGATGCCACTTCACGTCCCAAGGAGATTTTGACCATGAGAGTGGATTTTGACATGAGAGTGAAATTTTTGCTCAATGCCTTTCCTGAAATCTTCAAAAATAAATTACCTTTTAGCGGGCAATTTCCAAAAGACTGGTCTTTATCAAAATCTGAGGAAGTTGCACACCAGAAAGAGCTCGCATGGTCACTGCGGGGGATGCACTCAGCGTACCATCTACCCTTGAACTTAAAAGGGAACATGCAAGGTGCACCAAAGGCATTTCCTCCCAGTGTGTAGATATCTATGGAGAGAAACATAGAGTAATAGCAGTCAGTTGACGTCAGATGTTCACCACAGTGTCTGCTCATAGGCAGCTCTCTGAGTTATGCAAGAGCTCAACACATGAGTGCTTCATTACTATAAAGCCTTCCAAAGCTGTTGTGCCAGCTAGACAGGACTATGGCAAGATATTCAGAATTACAACTCTCAAACAACCCTTATTTGGCCATCAATCTAATTTCTGACATTTGTTCTTTTCATTACTGTCTGGACTCCTGTGTCAGAGATGTTTGTGACTCAGTTTCTCCCATCGAAATGGGAGATCCCAGAAATACTTCTGCCCACGGAAAATGTTTAGGATCTTTTCCTTTGTTTTCCCTGTGTGGTTGAAAAGGCTTGGAAAGAAGATATCAGAATATTTTGTTAGTTTTCATAAGAGGGAGTTTTATTTTAAAATTGCAAGTGACTCCACTGGGAAGTGGCACTCCCATCTCCATGCAGTTTAATTTGCTATCATCTGAACAAAATTATGACAAATTTCATTCCAGCTGGAACTGTTGTAGGGCACAGGAAAAACTTCATCCCTTCTTGTTTAACTTCCCACCCTACCAGAGGGATGCTCAATCTACATATCCCAGGAGGGATAATAATGCAGGAAAAGGTGACCCGTCTCTCCAGCAGTCTTTTGCCAGGCAATTAGGAATTACTGCCTCCTGAGCCTTTAAACACTGGTTTTCCTTTTGCTTTTTCCTAATTTTCCTTCCCTCTGGGCTTGGGAAACACCAGGTAAATATTGTTAAAAAGGTATTACATCTATGCTAACTAGAAATTAACTTAGAGATACTACATGCTCAAACCAGGTAATAGCAACAACAAATACTTAAATATAACACAATTGTCACTTCTACAAATTATTGGGCGTATTTTAAAACATTCATAGATTTCTTTATGCTGTTGCTGTACAAAGAGAATTGCCATTCTCCCTTATGATTACATCGTAGGCCTTTGTCATTTGATTCTTTGGTTTGGCAGAATTGCACTTTTCAAGTCATGCAGAAATGTATACAGTCATATTTGCCTTTTATTTCTACTCCCTATTTGTAGTCAGCTCCGCTGCTGATGTCACTGTAAGAAAAGGGTTGCTGAAGGACAGGCAGGCAGTGGAATACTTTGTAAACAGGTACAGCCAAGTCACCTGGAAATAGAGATTAATTTTTAGTACTCACCCTCATAACGCCGGGAGCATATGCTCTCTAAGGTTCCATGGATTTTCCACCTGCTCCCCTTGCCCGATAATCTGGACAACCTGACTTTCTTCCCCTTCCCTTTGCCATAGTTGAAAAATAAATCCTTGCCATGGGTTGCAAGTGTCTCATTTCTGCATTCCCACCACTGGAGCTCATTCGTCCTGTTGCAGGATTCCAACGTGATGGCTGCCTCGTTGTCCTTGGTGAGCACTCCCAGGCACAGCTTGAGGGCCATGCTCAGCAGCTGCGTGGCAGAGACCCACCTGAACTTTTGAAACTCATTATGCTCATCACAAGTCGTAGTTATGACTGAGCTGGAGTTTTGAGCTTGGGCGCAGAGCTTGCTATCTTCGTTATAGATGGAAAATATTCCGCTATCTATAAAATAAAACAGGAATGCAAACAGGAGAGATTTCATAGAAGATGGGTCAGCTACTTCTATTTGACAGTCTGCTACAATAAAAAAAAATCTAATATATAGAGTAAACAGGGAAAGAAATCAAGGGAAGTTCATCATGAGTATGAAGGATATTCATCAAAATGCTCTTAAGATGGAAGCAACACAGAAGCTGAAAATATAGCTCTTTCAAGAGAAATTGCTCTTCTTCACGTCCCTCCTTAAAACACACTGTTCTCAAAATGCCGTTCAAAAATGATTTCTATTAAATTTCATGAGTTCTTCAAAGTTCCACCACCACACAGCATATTAAACGGCTTTAATTTCACAAGTACAAGGGCTTTTTCCTTTAGAGCTATTAAGAATGTTTTACGTACTGAAAATGCAACCTTTTCTGAATGGCCCAGAATGACTTTGTGGTGTTCAGCTCATCAAGCAAGTGGGGTATTTTTCATGTTTGGTTAATGATTTTGGAAGTTTTTGGCAACTGTGCAAAAAAGTCATTTCTTCACAGAATTCGGCTTGTGAGTTTCTCAGGAGGGAAGCCAGGACTTGCAGCATCATCACTTCAGTTCTGAGCACGCCTGAGAGAACTAAATATCCCAAGTGCCATTAATAGCTACACTTGTAAACAGAAGCCTGAGATGCTGCGCAACAGGGTTGTGTTTCTTAAGAACAGCTTCAAAGAAGCGGCACAACTTCAGCCTGCTCCAAACCTTGACCGTTTCTTCAGCTCACCTTAGGATCATAGAATCGTCTAGGTTGGAAGAGACCCTTGGGATCATCGAGTCCAACCATCTCCCCTACTCTACAAAGTTCTCCCCTGCACCATATCCCCCAACACCACATCTAAACGACTCTTAAACACATCCAGGGATGGTGACTCCACCACCTCCCTGGGCAGCCTGTTCCAATGCCCGACCACTCTTGTGTGAAAAATTCTTTCCTAACGTTCAAGGTCTCTTGCCAGGGGTGGAATAGTTAAATGGGGCTTCACAGCCACCACTCCACCCCTCAGAGGTGCCAGGGAGTGGGTGAACAGCCTAGGTGATGCTTCTCTGAAAGGCTGCAGACATGAACAAGCCAGAAGCCATTTCCCCTGGCACAGCTCTCCTGCTGCAGCAGTTCTTCAGAAGGTTAGCAGAGGATGGGTTAGAGCCAGGTTGGTCTCACCCAAAAACATGCACATAAGAAATTCTCCTGTAGCGGATCAGAGCAGCGTTATTGGCTACTCCCTGCTGCTGTTCAAGCACTGACACTTGGACTCCCCCAGTTCTCTAGCTGTTGGGGAAAGACCTGCAGACACAGCATCATGTTTTTTCCACTCAGCAGTAGCAGCGTAGGAAACCCAACAGACAGAAACTCTTAAGGCCCTTCCTAAAGCCATCAGATTGGAAACAGGATTCCAATATGCAACGATTAGTGTGCCGTGTTCTACGTCAGCTGCCTAAGAAACTCAAGGCACACATCTGCCAGGGGTTCTGTGTCTGTTGAGAGGACACTGCCCTGTCCACTGGAGCTGCATTAACCTCCTATGGAGTACTTTCAGACCAGCTTTTGTCCACATCCAGCTGCCTGATTTTTCAAGAATCAGCACTACTTAAATTATGCCCACATCTGTTGGCGTATTTCTTTCACTCATACGCCACCTTGAAAACTGGGCTAAGGAAACAGAATGCCTGTACAGATACCACCAAATTTAAGAGCTGAATAAAACTTGTTCATATTACATGCTGTTATTAGATCTAAACTCACTCTCCACCAAGAAACTCATCAGGAAAGCACGAGAAAGAACTTGCGAACCTCCACATAGTCCGCAGACAACAAAGACTTACCAGATATTTGAAGAGACGTGCTAAAAGAGAAGAGAAAAGTCAGGAGCAGGTAGACAGCCATGGCCAAATGCCTCACCCCCTTCTCCCTGCACCTCAAATTTATGCTGAGGATGAAACCCGTGCCTTGCAAGAAAACTCTTCTGCACTGAACCAGATTGACAAATCCTCCTCGGTTTTTAAGGCCCTACAGATACAGGGAAGTTCTGAGCTGCAAATAAGGAACTGCATCATGTCACATGAGTAATTTTGAAATAATACATTAATGAATAAACTTTGCTTTCTAAGCTAGTTTCTCTGCTATATAAAAGTTTTCTCTTCCATGGCAATATAAGAGCTAAATCGTAACATTGTAGTGAGGATTTCTGGAAACATACCTCACAAATCAGAATCATTATTCTTACAAAGAAAGTTACATGAATGTCTCTTTACCAGAAACAAAAGGAAAGGGTAAAAAAGAAGAGGATGATTTGTCTGTATCAATAAATGATGATAAAAGCCAGAGTGCAATGCAGTACTATGAAAAATTGGCTGAGACAGTATGCAAACCAGGATTTCCAATGTCTGCAGTTCCACAGAAAAGAGAAAAGCCATAGAAAATATGAGCTGTGTTCTTCAGGATAAACCTCTTGCTTCTTTTGCTCCATTCCTGAGTATATGCTGGAGCAATGCACTCAAACTGACAGCATCAACTGAAGAAATTCTGAAAAGAAACCACACAGTTCTAGAAAGAAGATAATTTGTAACTGGAAATTATGGATTTTCAATTATTGCAGGAGAGGAAAAATTAAACTGATAAGGAATAATGCCACATTTTTCTTCCTGCTGGTCTCTGAAAATTCACTCTCCCTAAAGTGCACACCCTCCAGGCACTCTGACAAAACTGTGATGTTTGCTTTGAAAAAGTCATGATAGGTAAAAGAATTAGAAACACGTAGAGGGTAGGGAAGAGAAAAGGCACTCCTGTGGAAGGTTAACATCCTTTTTTGCACATGGCCTTTGAAAAATTTCCCATACTTCAGGAGAGGCTGGTTTGGGATTACTTCCCCAATACTGTATTTGCAGCAAATACTCTTTAGGATCTTTCCCTTGCAAATTGCTCCTGTTTTAGGCCATGAAAACCCTGGAGGCCTGCATGAAGATATGGGATCCTGCTTCTATTGTTCTGACTCAAATGCAGATGGACAACTCACTGCATCTGAAAAGGTACACAGGGAATTAGAGTAGAGTAAGAATTACAAGTGAGACAAAAAAGCAGGACTCGAAGGGCTGCAGATCCAGCTAGGCCTGAAACATGGAAAGAATGGGAGCCTGAGAAGGACAGGACCTGAGGAAAGTGGGAGAAAAGAGAAGGCCGCCTCAAGAAAGCGGCAGGTGGTCAATTAATCAGGGAATTATGATGCACATGCAAAGATGGATACACTGAGTCTGGAGTAAAACATCCTGGTACTCCTCAAGATGGGAACATTTGGCTCTGCAAGCTCAAATTCCCAACTTCCCTCAGTTCCTTGTTCAGGAGCTCCAGATGTGCAGATAGAAAAAACATCCTTATTTAGGCAGCAGAAATGTAATGTCTAATGGTTCTGCTGTATACAACATCTCAGCATTTCCAAAGCTACCAGAGGCAACAAGTGCAATTACAGTAGGGAAAAAGAAGAGGGATATGAAGAAAGACTGGTGTTTGGTGAAGGACTGTTATAAATGACCTGCTGAGAGAGGCTGACAAAGAGTAAAGCATCCTGAGGTCAGCTTCACCTCAGCGTTTGTATGTTGCTGTGAGCAGACCCCATCACAGAAAGTGGGAAGGGAGATCAGAGGGTTGCAAAGACACAACCCAGCCTCTTCCACTTGACAAGGCACAGCCTGACGTGCTAGAAGTGGCGAGGAAGAAAGGCGGCCGGGTTTTGTGTTGAGTCAGCGTTGTTCCTTCAGCAGCCTCTGCTCCCGGGGCAGGAAGTTACACTCAGAGTGTGCAGATTCACCACCTTCTCTCTGAAGTCTGAACTCTTCTGGAGAAAAGGGGAAATGAAAATTAAGCGCCAAGGTATCAAGAAATGTAGCAGTGGTGCAAGGAGGCAAACCTTTATGTGCTGCTGCATAGTCCTCAGCTGCCCGCAGAAACGGACGGGTGAGTCCATCCAGGTTCAACCGGATGCTTCCCTGAGTACGTTAAATAATTCATTTTCACAAAACACTGGCATTAAAATCCACAAGGAATTTTGTGATCATTCAGCGTGCTACAGCCTGATGCAAGATTTCAACCCAGAATCTCCACATACAGCACAATTGCAGTTTTGAACTGAAAACATTTGAGAAATAATAATTGAAAGACACGCTGTAAACATCAGTAAAAATATTCTAGCCTAACAAAACCTCAGAGAGTGAATAATCCTTTCATGTCTCTAGACAGGCTCAAGACATACTGAAAGAGCAACATATGGCACTTTCATGCTGCATATTCATGCTATGTATCAATTTTTTTTCTCTTTCATTTATCTAAACCATCATGATCAAACAAAAAATCTTGGCAGAATCAGAGGTTTATGCATATAAATTATTAGTGACCAGTTTAAAGTTTTCTTTTCTATCCACCACTTACATTTCATCTTGTTTGTCAATAAATTATTTTCCTTGTTTTTACAGCAAGAATATTTCAGAAAAGCAAGATCTCGATTCCTGTGTGAACGTATATTTCTGCAACATACAGCCTAAAACCTCCCCTAAGCAGTGGGATCTACTCAGGAGACAAAATCGGAGATCACAGGAGCCATGGGGTGGTTTGAAGACAGCTGAGGGATCCCAAGAGAACTGGCAGCAGAGGACAGCTGAAAGAATTCATGATGGATCAGAACACATATAAGTAACAAATTTTATCACATCTATATGAAAATGAGTAACTCCCAAGAAGACCCACTGCTTTCTTTTTGGTACGAATCATTTCCCCAGCCCAATCTTCAAAACTGTTTTTAGGCAGTCAGTTGTTTATCAGGAACCCCACAGCTTGGCAGTGGGAAGAGGACATAACCCCAGATCCCCAACTGGTGTTTGGTGACACCATTGCACAAGAACTCAGCCCAGGGAAGATGGAAATAACATGAGGGTGTGGAAAGAGAATTCCAGTTTGGAATCTAGTCTCAATTTTTTTTTTTAAATTGTATGATCACTTTTGTCAGAAAGATGGCCAAAGGAATGACAACGGTAAAGGCCTGGGACTGGGCTCTGTATTCAGTGCAATTCAGTGCAATCAATGAGTTGCCATCACCGAAAGGTACTAGCCGGGGGAAAAAAAAGAAAAAAAAAAAAGAAAAAAACCCCCAACCAAATAAATCAAATCCAAACAAACAAAAAAAAACCCACTAAACAAAACCAAAACCAGAAATCCTGTACTTTATAATTAAAAGTCCCTAGATAAAAGCCTTCCATTTAATCTTATATTAATTAGATACTGTTTAAAGTATTCAAGCTTAATAATTTCTCTACATTCCATTGCAAAATTCCTATTAGAGTTTGTGTATGAAGTATCAGTGCTGGATTGGGAGGAGAGGACCCAGCCAGGACAGCTGACCCCAGCAGAGCAAAGGGATATCCCATACCATCCCACACTCAGTAGATAAAGCTGGGGGAAGGAGGAGGAAAGGGGGGACATTCAGAGCGATGGCGTTACGTGTGATGGAGCCCTGCTTTCCTGGAGGGGGCTGAATTCCTTGTTCTCCATCTGATTGAAACGATGCCATCCTACACATCATTCCTTGTTCAATCTCTGATTGAAACGATGCCATCCTATCCATCATTCGTCAGTCAGCCCGGTTTCTGGAACACAAGGCACATCAGGTGGTGCGAAGAACCATACGAAGTGCTGGTCCTTGAAGAGACAAACAACTGGGCATTAAAAATGGAAAGAGGAGTAGGAACAGAGGCAAGGAAATAACTGGGAGAGAGGAAGCAGAGCCAGAGAAAAGTTCCAGGACAAACGTCCCCATCTTACCTACACGTGTACAGCATGCAAGCATCTTACTAAATCACTCAGCTGACATTTTTGGTTTGGTTTTAAGAGGACAATCCCTGGACAGATTAAGGAAAACATGGTGAATATCTTAGAATCATAGAATCATAGAATCGTCTAGGTTGGAAGAGCCCCTTGGGATCATCGAGTCCAACCCTCTTCCCTACTCT